CGGTGGCGTCTCTGCGCTTGCGCACTCCACAAATACGCTGTGAACACGGGAGGGGATTTCGCGAATATGGAACCTCGAACACTAAGCCTCGCCATAGCTGAGGCTGACCCCTTGGCGCGTGGAATTTCAATCTGGTCTGTGCTCCCCTTCAGCCCCACCGGGAGGAGCAAAGGAGCTCAAATCCTGAATTTCTGAAGAGGGATAAGAGGCTCTGTTGGGGGCACAGGGTGCGGACGGATGCCCTGCTGTGCCCAGAAGTGCCTTCCTCCCCCTTGGGCTCTCACTGTGTGGCCGGCAGACATGGTGGCCAGGCCCTGGGGGCCGTGGGCTGTGTCCCCAGCACCAAGCACAGGGCAGGGCTGAGCCAGCAGTGGGCTGTCATGGGGACGTCCCTGTGCGACTTGCTTCTCGACACAGGGCCCCTCTTCTGCCTTCTGGTTGGATCCCTGCGGCCTCGCGGGGCATGGGGTCCCCCATCAGGACTTCTGTGTACTTTCAGCACGGGAGCCTTTTCCCAAATACCCTCTTGTCCCCCACTGTGTGTCAGAAGAGGCATAGCTGCTGGGCTGGGTGGGGTGGCCGAAGGGCCCGGGGTACAAGAGCAGGCAGGCCCTCAGCTCGTGTGGCACCTCCAGGGGCTTCAGTGTCTCCCCCCAGCTTTCCCATGACCTCGTCTGATGCATTTTCACGGGGCCTGATCCATGGCCACACCACCTTCCAGGACAAGCCTTACAGCTTGTAGACAAGGCGTCCCTTTTGGAGGACATGGTAGGGGAACAGCTCCACTGTCCTCCTGGTCCTCTGTGGCCCCACGCTCATGGAAGCGTAAGGACAGCCCCAAAGGGCTTCTGGCTGGGAGCCCTCTCTGCCACAGGGCCAGCCCTGTCCCTTACATGGTAGAGGGAGCCAAGGCCGGGCCAGGACTGCAGCTGTCCCCGTGGACCTTCGGCACCCCCCCCATCCCTGCCCTCCTCCCGACTCCTCCTCTTCTTCCTCCTGACCTCCTCCTTCCCCCACCCCGGCCCCCACCCTCCCGCACGCCCCCCACCGTCCCTATAAACCCCGGCCCTCCCCACGGACCCTCCACCTCTCCCCTGCCCCCCACGCTACCCCCAGCCTCCCCTCCCCCCCCAGCCTCCACACTTCCCTGCGGACTCCTCCCTTCCGCCACCTCGCCCGTAGGTCCGGGCCTTCCTGCAGCACCCCCTGAAGGGCGTCGTCCTGGAGACCTTCGGCTCAGGCAATGGGCCCACAGAGCCGGAGCTCCTGCAGGAACTTCGGGCAGCCAGCGGACGTGGCGTCCTCATTCTCAACTGCACCCACTGCCTCCAGGGCACCGTGACCTCAGACTACGCCGCCGGCGCGGTGGGCTGGGAGCGAGTCCGGTGGGCGGTGGGTGGGAAACTGCGGCCGGGGGAGGGGGCGTGGAGGGGGTCCCTGAGGGCGGTGGGCAGGGCACCATGGCCCGCGGGGGTGTGTGGGCCCACGGAGGGGGTCCCGGCTGGGTGAAGGGTGAGCATCCACTCCTCCTCCCTGCAGGCCTTGGCGGACACCGGCCTGGTCTCGGGCTCCGACATGACCACGGAGGCGGCGCTGGCTAAGCTGGCCTACGTGCTGGGCAGGCTGGGGCTGAGCCTGGACGACAGGAAGCAGGTGCTGCGGCCTGCGGAGGGCAGTGTGTAGAGGGCCTGCCTGGGTGACTCAGGAGAGCTTGGGGGCCAGCCTAGGGTGTGGGATAGGAGAGCACCCCGGGGAGGAGCCTAGGCACAGATTGAGGGTCCCCAAAGTGCTCCCAGATGCCCCTGCCCCCTCGCCCCTTCCAGGCAGGCCTGGACACAGCCCTGGGCTACTCACCTTTTGGGAGCGGGCAGGTCCTGGGAGCAAGGAGGGACCAAGGGTGGGCTGCCCTATGCAGGGACCTGGCAGACCACCCAGCAGCCCAAGGGATGCACACCATCGCTGGGGTTCCAGCCTCGAGGCCTGGCCTGCATGCCCTGTGTGGGTTGACCGCAGCCCCTATGTGCTCCTGCCCAGCTGCTGGCCCAGGACCTTCGGGGGGAGATGACGCCACTGGCTGCTGAGCCCCGGCCCTCCCTGCGGGGCAGCCCACTGGGGCGTCAGGTGGCCCAGTTCCTCAGTCTGAGCAACAACAGCCAGGTACTGCTTGATGTGGGGGGACTATGGGGCTGCTGGGCGAGTCTGGGCCGTGCACCCCCTCGGCATGGTGGGACACTCCAGGCTGCTGCCCCTCCGCCTGCACTGGCCCTGGGTGTCCGTGCACACTGGCCCTGGGTGTCTGCCCGCACTGGCTCTGGGTGTCTGTCTGCACTGGCCCCGGATGTCTGTGCACACTGGCCACCGGGTGTCTGTCTGCACTGGCTCCGGGTGTCTGTCTGCACCGGCCCTGGGTGTCCGTCTGCACTGGCCCTGGGTGTGGGGCTGCTGAGAGGTGCTGAGCGCCTGAGCCAAGTGTGATGCTGCCGGCTCCAATGGAGGTGGGGTGCCTGCTGGGGATCTCCCCGGTTCTGAGATGAGGGCTCTGTGGGGACCAAGTCTCCAGGCCCACAGCTGCATTGCCCCAGCCCCTGGAGAGGTGGCCTGTCCTCGAGAACCCCTTCCCCCACCAGCACATGAATTGGGTGTCCTGACTCAGAAAGGCTAGAGCCGAGGCTTGCTTTGTGGTGTGGAGTCAGGGTTCAGGTGGGGCCAGGCTCCCTGTGTCCCACATGTCCCCCTGCAGCTGAGGCCTGGCACAGGGGTGCTTCCCAGTGCTGCCTGGGGCACACGGTGAGGTCCATTCTTCAGTTTCCCCTGCAGCACAGGGGCAGGGGCAGGGATGAGAGACACGCCTGTGGTGGGGCGCTGGGCAGGCAGTGGTCAGATGAAAGGGCTGGGCCGGGTGGCCTGTTATTAGGGCAGCTGTGTCCAGCCTTTAGTGACGCGGGGACACGGGTGGCCCGGCAGAGCTTTGTGATCAGGCTGTGGGCATCAGGAGAGCATGGGAAGCCTCTGCTCTGACCCCAGCCTCTGTTGCCTCAGGGAGCCTTCTCAGCAGGCTTGGGGCTCCCAGGCAACCCTCTGCCCTCTCGGGTGCTGGGGAGGCCTGGGAGGTCCTGCAGGGATGGGCTGGTGGGCACAGGGCCCTTCTTTTAGGGGGACAGTGCACCCCTTCCCATGCACCCCAGCAGATGACTTGTTATGGGTTTAACCTGGCTTCCTTGACAGCGGTGGGGACAGAAAAGGACATGGGCCCTCAGGGGGTCGGTGCGGACCCTCGTCACACGGGGGGGCCTTCTGTCGGTGCCTTTGCTCCCAGGAAGGGGGAGCCTAGGCGGGCCTCTGGTTGGGACAGTGAGATTCAAACCCAGGACTTCTGGATGTGACAGCGCAGGCTCTTCCCACTGCCATGGGTGGGACTGAGGAAGGTGGGTGGACCCTCGGCCCAGGGACCCACTGCCGGCTGCGGCTGTCTGGGGCGGCTGGTGCTCACACGAACCCCTGCTTCGTCTGCCCCCAACCCGGGGTGCTGAAAACCCCAGGGCACGGTGCAGAGCGTGGATCCCACTGCCCCCCCGCCACAGGAGTTTAATGCCGTGTGGGACGCCCTGCTGCCCAGTCTGGCCTGTGCTGCATCTCATGCAGGAGACTTGGAGGCGCTGCAGGCGCTCGTGGAGACGGTGAGCCACCCGCCCTCCGGGGCACCCGCAGCCTCGGCCAGGCCCGGGGGTGGGGGCAGAGGAAGCCAGCCTCACCCTGAGGGAGTGACAGGCCCTGCATCCGCCCAGGGCAGCGACCTGAGCACAGAGGACTTTAACGGTCAGACCCCACTGCACGCGGCTGCCCGGGCGGGCCACGCAGGGGCCGTCAGCATGTTGCTGCGGAGAGGCATGGACGTGAACGCCCGTGACAGCGACGGCCTCAGCCCGCTGCTGCTGGCTGTGAGGGGCAGGTACTCAGAGGCCTGGGCACTGCATGGATGCAGGCTGCGGGGTGGAGCCGCCATGGGCTATGAGGACGGCCACAGGCGGAGCAGAGGGGGCTGGTGTTTGCCTGTGGTCACAGTCTCCCCGTGCAGAGCTGGGGGAACCAAGGGCACCTGCTTCCCACAACCCCCCGAATCCTCCACCCTGGGCACTGAGTACCAGCAGTGGCCATGTGGGGGAGGAGAGGGGGAGACAGGGCTCAGAGGAAGGAGGACTTAATCTACGTGGGGGGAGTCAGCGAAGACTTCTCGGAGGAGGTGATCTCCAAGCTGAGCCAGGCAGGTCCAGCAAGCCTGTCTTCTAGGAAAGAAGAACGTTTCCGGCCAAAGCAGAAGGGGCCTGGGGGCCTTTTCCTGTCCTCTCGTTGCACCTGTGTGTGGGCCCCGGGTGGGGGCAGTGGGGGCACAAGGAGGAGCCTGTGGCCCAGCACCCAGACGGGCAGGGAAGGCAGGCTGCAACAGTGCCAGGTGGGGTGGGCTGGGATGCCGTGGAGGCAGGGTCAGCCTGTGGGTGAGAGAGGGAGCCCCAAAAGCTGGCATCACCCACCAAAGCCTGACTTTTGAGAGGAGGGCCCTGGCCCAGGGTGGGTGGGTGTAAGGGTGGGGGTGTCACACCTGGGTGGGGACTGAGCTTGTGCTGAGGCCCCAAGACACTGGGCTGGCCTGGTGGGGCACAGGCGTGGGGTCTCCTGAGGTCTGGTCTCCTTCAGAAGGACGGGTAGGGCCAGAAGCCGGGCAGGGTCTCCGGAGGCCTCTGTCGGGCCTTCCGCACTCCCAGCTGGGTTTCCTCACCCGTGATGCACGTGGTGGGGGACGTGTACCTGCGGTGGTGGAGTGTGAGGGGGTGTATGGTTCCAGACAAACACCTGCAAAGGGGCCGGTCACCAACAGGGAGGCTGGGGACACGGGGTGCAGGGAGAGGGGGCCTTGCTGGGGTCACAGGACTGGCGCCCAAGCTCTGACCGACCCTCCCTGTCACAGAGCCCAGGTAGGGCAGGGCCTGGGTGGCTGGCCAGCATGCACTGGGAGGAGTGAGCGTTTGGGGCCTGAGGGGTGTCTCCCTTCTCTCTGAGGGCTGGCCTTGGCCCATAAGGGGGCAATGAAGCCCATTCCTGGCCTCTCTCCAAGGGCTGGGCTCGCCTGCCTGATTGACACTCCGTGCGGGGGAGGGAGACGAGGCGGCCGGGCTTGGGGGGCTCGGGGCAGCTGCATGCTCCAAGGCGGGAACTGCCTGGCTGTGGCCTGGGGGGGCCCACCTCGAGGCCCCGCGGTGTCTCTCTGCTCCCATCGCCCCCTCCCCAAAGCCTAAAGCAGTGTCAGATACCCAGTCCGTGCGGGTGTGCATGTTCCAGTGGGAACGCTTGTGTGTGCGCATGGGGAACACGTGTGTGAGTGTGTGCATCTGCATGCAGGAAGGCCGGTAAGCATCTGTGCACACACAGGGACAAATGTGTGAGCATGTGTGTGTGCAGGAACATGTGCGAACGTGTGTGTGCACGCATACAGGAATGTGTGAGCATATGTGTGTGCATAGCATGTGTGTGGTATGGGAACATGTGAGCATGTGTGTGATATGGGAACATGTGTGGGCGTGCTGTGCGTGCAGGAACGTGTGTGTGCATACGGGAACACGTGTGTTAGCGTGCTGTGCATGCAGGAACGTGTGTGCCTGTGTCAGGGGCCGGGGCTGCTGGATTCACAGTTTGGCTCTCTGTCCTCTGTTCTCCTTGTTTTCCGAGAGCAGAAGTGACCTTGGCCAGTGTAGGGACCTTCAACAGCCAGGCCTGTCTGACCCGTCAGTCCTGGCACCACCGCCTCTCCTTGAGTGTTTTTCCCTCCTCCCAGGGACTTTGGGTCTCCAAGACCTGGGTTTTTACATGGGAGGGTGCTCCTGAGTCTCATGGAGAGAGGTGGAGGATGTCTGTGCCAGGGTCACCAGCACAGAACGTGCCAGGTCCCCACCCCTGGCTGTGATCCTGGGTCCTCAGCCCCATCTGTGATCCTGGGTCCCCACCGCTGGCCATGATCCCGGGTCCCCTACCCCGGCTGTGATCCTGGGTGCCACCCCTGGCCGTGATCCCCCGGCTGTGATCCTGGGTGCCCAGCCCTGGCCGTGATCCCCCGGCTGTGATCC